TATATATATATATATTCGTTCAATAAAAAATACCGTATATATTTATATATATACGTACAAAGGTATAGAAAATATTAATCATACTAAAAACTGAATAATGAAAATATATTTATATAAGGAAAAATGATATTTTCTTATATATATATATATACATAGGAGTATTTATGTTTATATTTGTATTTGTATGTGGATATAAATATATATGTGTAGAAAATTGCAGTTAAATTGGATAGTTCGTGTATTAATTTGACACATTTGATAATTTGATGTAGGTGTTTGTCAAATTAAAAATTCGTGTAGAAAAATACCACATTTTACAAAATCTGTGTAGGAAAATATTATTTTTCCTTTATATAATAAAATAAAAAATCAAGATTTGTATATATCTCTAATAGAAATAGTAGCGAATATAATATATGATTATATAGTGTGTGTGTTTTTTATATTGGTATATTTTGATATGTCGTCGGGTGACGGAGACATATGGGTAGGGTTTAGAGATATTTCATGGGGTATGGGGACGAGACCGAATCAGACCATGATCCATGACTTGTTGTACCTTTTTTTTTGTTGTCTTTTTTCATATGTATAATGGATGTATAATATATGGTCCATATAGGAGAACAGACCTAACAGAATCTCGTGGATTAGCCATTGTTATTTGCCTCATGGCCCATGCCATATGTCGCATTGCTTGTTAATTTTATTTCAGTACCCCCCTATCCCCTCTCAAAATATTTGCATCACAATTGTCCTTTTCCCATGTACCAAATTCAAATGTGCATAATAAATAATTAAATATAACGCCGTACCATGTTTAATATATATATATATATAACCCATCGTGTCTGCCTCATATTCATAATTGCGTTTAATTTTTGTCGTCAAATAACAATTATGCATATATATATATATATATGCATAATTCGTGGATCGCCATCTGTATCGATCGCCGTACTAACACTTACAATATCATTCGTAAAGAATAGTTTTCTATATACCTAAGTTTTTTTGACAAAATCTATACACCTAAGTTGTAATATAAAATGTCATATACTTTATATTTCCATATATTATGTACTCGATATATGACACCTATATACGTACAAATCTCAATCAACCCGTCCAACAAAATTAGGAATCGAAAATTCAAAATGGATATACCAATATTACAAATTTTTAAATTTAGTTAGTTCAGCCGGTGAAACATAGGCGCAAAACGTTTGTTCCGTATCGAACTCGAATTTCAAGTTTGGTGAAAGAATATATATTTCAAATTACCTGATTGGACCTTGACCCCAGAATTAGTTTGATTATTGATCCACAACATCCGATTGCCAAAAAACAAATATTACAAATTTACCCTAATTAAGGATAATGCAATCATTTATCCCCTAATCACTTCCAGTCATGCATGTAAAAAGAAAAAGGTAACCTAATTAATGATCACATCATGCAAGTATTATTTACATTGGAAAAAGAATACAAAAGGAAAATATAAACTTAAGCTTTACGATATAGAGTTAAGACTCCATATATATATATATATATATATATTGGTGCATGTGGCGATGGATCGACGAAAAATGTCATTTTTTGTAGTGGTTAGTTAGGACGATGGCTCCGACATTCAGATGGGTCATTTCATTTATTTATTTTTCCATTCAATGTGATACCAAACCCTATTCTATAGGTTTTGATTATTTGAAAGACCATAGAAAAAAATCTTTCTAATTTCCAATACATATATATATATATATATCCAATATATGTTTCCAATAATACATGGTAGAATAAATACAGAAATAGCTGTAAGATGGTCGAATACATGCCAGAGATGAATGTAATCAGGTGCGAAAATATATTCCATGTGCTCGTGAATGTTTGGCATTATTGGTTTAAAATCGTGAGTTAACACAAGAACAAAAGCACGTGGTGTTCGTGCGACGTTACGTTACAATGACACGTCAAAATATTGGACCGTAGGGACGAATAAACGATCAAAAGGACTATATATATAAATGTAACGAAATGAAACGAATCCTATGTCTTCATGTGATCCAGACATTATAACTACGCTCCAATTAATTTGGATTCTATTCTCCAAAGCGGGCTCTTTATGGTTGCTTGGACACACAACAATATGTTCAAAGAAAAGGGCTTTTGAAACACATTACCGATCTCCTAGATTATCTTAGAATCTGCAGAAATTGTTGGGACTTAAGGAATTAACCCAACAATTCTTCAGAATTAAGCTTGGCGATAGGACAAGAACATTATTCTGGCATGTCCATGGACATCTCTTGGCCCTCTGATCAAATACATTGCTGAATCGGGGCCGAGAAGCTTCCATGTTCCGAGCCTTGCGACAGTCCGTAGTGCAGTGAATGACAGTAACTGGGCTCTTATATACCCTACAGAGGTTTCTACTTAGATCGGAACCCTCTGATCAAATACATTGCTGAATCGGGGCCGAGAAGCTTCCATGTTCCGAGCCTTGCGACAGTCCGTAGTGCAGTGAATGGCAGCAACTGGGCTCTTCCGAATGCACGATCTGATAGGCAGCAAGATTTTCTCACCTTGCTCTCTACTATCCCACCACCGATGGACACCGACGTTTCCGATCAGCCGCTATGGAAATTTGCACCTGATGATTACAGAACGTTCTTCCTTACGAGCCGAACATGGGGCAAAGTCCGTCATCATGATGAGTTGGTCTCTTGGCACTCTATTGTTTGGTTCTCTAAAAGCGTTCCTAGATATGTTTTCCTAACCTGGCAGGTCATGTTGCCAAGACTCCCTACTAAGGATAGATTGCACCATTGGGGAGTAACACCGGAGGCACTATGCGTACTATGCGAGGCGACAGAAGAAACGCATCAACACTTATTTTTTGAATGCAGGTTTAGTGTTCAAGTGTGGAACTATTATATTGTACTTTGCAGGCAGAACCCCCCCCCTCCTCAAACATCTACCAATGTGTGCATTGGATGGAAAACGTAACACACAGCGAAGTTAGAGACATGCCAATGATCATCAAGTTCATCCTCCAAGTCACGTTATATGAGTTATGGAAAGAAAGAAATCATCAGATTTTCCGGAGAAAGAAGAGAACACTGGAGCATACTCGGTGGAAGATCGACCGAACCATCAGAACAATTTTACTATCTATCAAAGGGAATCCACCCAATGATAGCGAGTCGCTACTTGCAGATTGTTATAACTTGACGCGAGAAACAAGAAGATAATCTAGTGTTGCTGTAATTTTTGAGATTTATTACCATTTCCTTATGGGTTCCAAAATCTTTTGCATACAAGCAAAAGCGAGGTTGTAATTTCTTTTGGTATATAATACGAATCACCTTTTAATCAAAAAAAAAAACTACGCTGCAAATAGTTAACTACGTCAAGTTATCAAACACTTGAGGGTTTTTTTTATTAATTACGTGTCTATTATATTACAAGATCAAATGCTATATATTAGAGCCATAAAGAATAATTATATTGTATATATGTTATTGGGGATATAAAATGGACTTCCTCCCTCATTTTATCACAAGGGAATGCATAAAAAAATATACATTTTACGTTCACATTGAAAATGTGATATCGGAATACAAGTCTATATACACACACATTTATGGTCAGGAATAGAGGTAGTCATTTTGGTTATTAACCTAATATTATCGAACCGAATCTGACATAAAAATTGAACGGTTATAACTTTTTTAAATTTGAAAAAAATCTAAACCGAATCTAATCAAATAAAAAATAATCAAAAACCCCAAAAAATTCCTGAAAAATGAGTGTTTGACCAATAAAAACCGTATCCCAACCAAAATAAAATACAACCAAACCAAAATTGATATAAAAATCTAGTGGTTATAGTTTTTCTATAATCGAAATAATCGAACCAAGTACGAAACAGAAAGAAACATATTAGATAGGGTTATACAAAAATACCATAGTCGGATTTAGACAAAAGCAAATGCAAATGGGTGTCTGGATCTGATGGTTGCGCCCCATCTGCTACATGGGCATTGTCAGTGAGTAGTTAGTCTTCTGAGAATGGTTGTGCTTTCCCATTTTCGCAATTCATTTGTAATATTTTTCTAAAATGTTTATTTTCCCCATAAATTTAAGAAGAAAAAAATTAGAGTGAGGAATGAAAAATATATATCGTGGTGGTTCAGTTAATCTCTGCAGTTGGATCGTACACTTTCTGATTCTTATATATGTATATGTATATATATATCCCATATTTATTGTAACGTCTGCCAAATGGGTTTCTGGTCAAATAAGAAACCTAATCTATATAAAGCATCAGTCTTACCAAATTATTTAATTTCATTTGACTTGCCTATTCGTACACACACATATAAATATATATATATATATATAGAGAGAGAGAGAGAGATCGGTACACATCACGTAGATAATATGATCTTTTGTCTTCTACAGAAGACTGAGTGCCCGAGATTAGGACATATTCAACACGCATCTGTCATTTTCTTCCCACACCCACACGTGTGAACCATACATACGTATATACATACATGCATACATTCATACGTGCTACATGTACGCATGCATACAATACCGTTTTGTTACAAAGTACTCAAGCTTAATAATGTTAAATGCGTCTCCAACTGAAACTCCATTATAATTCTTAGACGGGAATCGATTCGGCTGATGGTTTATGTGTAATGAAAAAAATGGCAACCATATAGTATATGAGAATATATATATATATATTGAAATAAAAGGACTTGGTTAACAATTTTTGGAAAAATAGAGTATGCAGTTGAACTGAACACAGGAGGGTGTCTTCAGGATGGTTAACCACTTTGAACACACACACTTTAAAAAAAAAAAAAGATTCTGCAAAATTTATTTCCTTATTTATCGTCTGATTTTTTTCTTTTTTATAATTTCAAAAAGAACATCTGTTTTCTTTTTTTACTAATTATTCTTAAAGACAACGCTGACAAGATCTAGTCGCTAGTTTTTCTTTTCTATCCGGGGAAAATGAACGGTCCATTTGCTCAGATTTCCATAGCTAAAAAAGTGATTTAATGTATCAATTAATGCAAGTTCACTGCTAACAGTTATTATGTTTTTTTTTTTGTAGATTTACTGTTAACTAATGTATGAAGGCTAATAATTTGATTTATAGTAATAAAGTGCTGGCATTAAATACTGATTTAAATAAAAATAGTTTACGTCCCATAATCACTGTTACAATTGTGGAACAGCATCTTGTCGTGAAATATGTCATCGCGTCATGTAATCTTTTGCAACTCATATACACGAATGTATATATAAATTAATCTTATTACTACACGCATATAATATTAATATAATAAATACATGCGCATATATATATATATATATATATATATATATATATATCCATCTACGTGTGTTTTCCGCTTAACTCTTGTTTTGTCTATTCCTTCTTTCCCTTCCTTCTAAATGGAAATGGTTTATGCTGACATGGCGTCTCTCTCTATAACACCACTCTTGGTTTCTTCTTCCTCAGACCTCACATCCTCATCTCGTTACCGTAACAACGCTGTCTTGTCCGAAGATCTCTCTTGGATGGATCAAATCAACGCTCCGAGATCATGGGACGTCCCTTTCAACATCGAAAACGGCCATCGTCTCTTCAACCGTAGCGATTTCGAAGTTGGGTGTCTCCAGAATCCGATTAACCTTAACAATGGCGTGGTTAAAGAAGAGATTAGTGACCCTAATTACAGCAGCAGCGAGATTAGCGGCGGCAAGGAGGAAGAGGCTGACAATGTTAATGGAAAGGGAAAGTCGTCTTCGAAGGCGAGTGTCTCCAAAGGACATTGGAGACCAGCCGAAGATAATAAGCTCAGAGAGCTCGTCGCCGTCTACGGACCACAAAACTGGAACCTTATCGCGGAGAAGCTCCATGGAAGATCTGGTAATTACATCAATCGAAAAAAAAAAGTTTTTTTTCCCACCTGGGTCATCATAAATCCGTCAAAAGTTGTGAACTTTCGTCGTTTTTGGTGATTTATTGTTGAACAGGGAAGAGCTGCAGGCTTAGGTGGTTCAACCAATTGGACCCGAGAATAAACAGGAGGGCGTTTACGGAGGAAGAGGAGGAGAGATTAATGCAAGCCCATAGGCTTTATGGGAACAAGTGGGCAATGATTTCGAGGCTTTTCCCTGGAAGAACTGACAATGCAGTCAAGAACCATTGGCATGTCATCATGGCTCGCAAATACAGAGAACACTCCACTTCTTATCGGAGACGGAAGATGATTACCCTAAAACCTCTCCCTAACCCTAATCCTAATCCTGATCCCAGCCCTAATCACACTTTTAACCATGATCAGCAGCATTTTCCCGAGTTTAGCCATGGTGGGTTACCTTTAACCCACTTGGGTAATAGCCCGAACCCAAGTGACCTGCAACAGCAGCTGATTCTGCCTTTTCATCTCTTCCAAGGTCAGTTTCTGTTCATGTCATTATATTATTCAGTTTTGTCATACTCAATAATATTGTAACCAAAATATTGTATTTCCTCGTGAATGTTCTAAATATTTTTTATGATTATTTTTTTTTCAGGTTTCGAGGGCAATGAGGGTATAATGGTGGGCATGTTTGGCAACCAAATGATGGATCCTTTCGACCAACCAAACACACATAAAATTGCTCCTGGTTTCAACGACGGTCCATGCCATAACATTCCTCCGATAATGCGAGAGGCAACCGACGATTTTCATTACATCGACCCTCGAAACCAAACAGCATATCAAAAGGATTCATATGCTCCGGCGGCGGAGGAAGTGACCCGCGGGAAGATTGTCGTGTTGGATAGGATGAGTAACGACCACCAACCACCACCACCTTTCTTTGATTTTCTTGGCGTCGGAGAAACATGAACAAAGTAGTCTTTTTATTTTTATTTTTCTTAATTAGTTAACGTTATTGTGATTAATTAGTTTAACGAAAATGGAGGTTAGGTGTTAAGGAGGCAAAAGGAGAGATATGGTTTCTTGTCCTTAGTGAGATCGCGTTAATTCTAGTTTGTTGTTGTCTTTGTCCCAATCGGAACAAACTTATGTTAGTAGTTTACTTAAAAACGTATTAAAAAACGAGTATGACGTGTAAATTACCCATTTAGTTAGAGTTAATTAAGATTATGATTGTTGTTCATTTCATTTATGTCTTCTATATATAATATAATGTTTCACTTTGTCACTAGATGCACCAAAATGCGTTGGTAGTGGCGGATTTAGAAAAAAATATAAACGGGGGCATTGATTTTATATACATCATTTTATGGAATCAAATGCTATTTTTGTGGGGGCATAGAATAATTTTTTCCATAATTTTACAAAAATTATCTAAAAATTACTTATTTTTTTGAATTAGAGTGGGGCCTGTGCCCCCACACCTCCTAACCTAGATCCGCCAATGGAGGGTACATGCTTTGTTGATAACACAACAAAATAAAAAGAAAAGGGTACAAGATTGACATGAAGAAAGTATGGTGGTGGTGACATGCGATGATGATGATGATGATGATGATGATGTGGCTGTTAAGAAGATGAGAAGAGCAAAGACAAAAAAACAAAACAAAACACAACACAACGCGAAAGTCAAACAGAGAAGAGACATTTGCTTTTCTTTGAGAGTTACGCAGAAACATGCGTTCTACATGATGGGCTTTCGAGATTCATGCAGAGATTCTGCGACGGAAACGCAAACATGCACTCACACACACACATATTGCATTTTATTTAAATTTTTTTATGGAAACTGTTCGAATATATGTATATATATGATCGAATAATTCTGACGTTAAACGAATATATTTACTAAATGGATGAATATTCGGGGGCTGGTGGGGGTAGTGGTTGGTGTTCTTTTTACCCCTTTTCCCGAACAGCTCCGCGTGTTGTTTTCCCCATTTGGAACAGAAACGTGTGTCGTTTTGCGTTTCGCTGACGTCAGAGAAACAAAACTGTAACCACTTCTGCTCTAGTTTCGCTAAACAGCGCGACTTTTGCCTCCACAGCTTCTGAACCGTTTCGGTTATCGTTAATATTCTGGGCTTCGGGCCTCTTCTCGAGAAACTTAGCGGCTTCTTGTATTTTTAAAAATTATTTATATTATTTTAAAACAACAAATAAATTAGATCACTTAAAATCGAAACTTGAAAAATTGTCGACTAATTATATGATACCTATATGCCTTTCTAAACAGTTTTGAGTCTAATAATATTGACTTTAAAAAATCAAACCAAAAAATCTTACAAGGAAATTAGAAAAAATGACGGAGACTTTATGTCATTCGTTATATATATATATATATATATGTATATATTTCGTTTGAATTTATCGTTATATTTTAATGAAACTTGTATTGAAAAGATACGTTCTATATGTTTTTTTCCTCCGAAAAGCTGAACCACTTTATGAACCTATACTTATATATTATGGTCATGGTGAAAGCTACTTTTTTTTTGTTCTTTTTCCTACTTTTTTTTTTTTGTTAAATTCCATTATTTTTAATTTTATGTTTTCTTCTTCTTTCTTTCTTTCGCGTTCCATTGCTTACGGGGAGAATATAATATAACGTTGTTGTTTGGTCTATAATGCATCGCACATCCTCGAATATACCATACTCACGTCCTTACAGTATTGAAGAAGCAGATGTGAAATATAATCACAATCGATTTGAAGTATAGATATATATAATTTTAATTTACGATCTTATAGGAAAATATGGATGATCATTTTCAATATATATATATATATATATATATATATATATATATATATATATATATATATATATACACAATACGCAAAGCGTCGAATTCACTTTCAAGGTTCGCAAACGTGCCTTCTGCACACGATCAACCCCCACGTACCGGGTCTTCAGGGATTCTGAGAGGAGAGAGAGAGAGAGAGGAGAGAGAATATGGATTGAATGATTATAAATAATATATATATACATACACACACTCATCTATGGAGGTGTTGACCTTTCACAGAGTTATTGTCTAACAAAATAGCCTACATAGCTTTCTTGTTCCACAAGGTAACGAGAATCTGATCTCTCTCCATCGGTTCTTGGATTTTTTTTAAAAATCTATTTTAGACTCAGATGTTTGTCGTCTTGTTCTCGTGAAATTTGATGGATCGAGCAAAAGCTGCAGGGTTGGCATGCATAGACAAAGATGATCCAAACGCAAAGTTTCCGTTGTTAACCTTTGGTTCCGACCACTTGACCGTACTGTTCTTGCCCTTGCCTGTCTTCTCCGGTCTGATCGCTGACTTAGACCTTGGTTCGTCTACTCTCGGAGATTCTGATGAAACCACTCTTTTCCGGTCAGAATCTTTGGATACTCTTTCGGTTTCTAGTGAAGTTTCATCCCTTGTCCTTTTCCCTCGGCATGGGGAAGCGTTTGGAGACCCCAATGGAACTGTGCAGCTCCAAAAGAATGGGAAAGGGTGGAAATTAGGGTTAGGCCAAGGAGGAGGAACGGGAAATGTTACTTGCGGAGCAAGAAATCCCTGGTGATAGTTCTTGGCGTTCTGTGAAGCAGAATCAGAAGCTACCTTCCCATCACCTTTACAGTCTTTACCAGAATCGGATACCATGAAACCCGATGACCCGAATCTGAGAATTGTCGTCGAGTTGTTGTTGTTATTATCAGAATTGAACTGCGGGTATTGATCTGGAGAAGAGGCCCAACCTTTGTTCTTGCGTCTGCCTGAGCCAACGGGGACATTCCTCATGGATCCACCAGCGGTCCAGTACCTCTGGCAGTTCTTGCAGAAGTGACGTGGCTGGTTCATGTTGTAGTTGTTGTAGTAACAGAACTTTGTGTCTTTGCTCTTGCACCTCGGACATGGCAGGACCTCGCCTGGTTTGTTCATGGCTGTTTTATCTGGTGATGCACTTGTCATGGTCGTCACCTCACTGTTCTGATCTCCGTTGTTCCCTGAGCTTTCTGGCGATGAGGTCTCTTTCGGCTCATCGTTGAGATCGATAGATATCAGCAGACATTTGGAGCTGATGTTGTCTTGCTCGTTATCATCTGCAATAAGATTCATCACCTGAAATTTGCAAAACTCTGATGTTTATTAGGATCAACAATAACCAAAAAACGAGTTTTTTTTAACAAAATTTCTCATACTCTCAAAAGATTGGATATAACTTCTTCAAAGCCAGAAAGTCAAACGTGAAAAAAAAAAGAAAAACAGAGGGATAGGGCTAATATCATTTCTCCTGGTCGGAAAAATAAGATTCCAAACGAATATTAAACCTTTTTGCTCTCCATTAATTCAGCTACTTTCTCAACTACGCGATTTCTTTTCAGACACGATCGTGACAGTTTCGGAAACACATAAGCGGCAAAAACTGTAAGCTCGTCAAAATCCGGCGAATACGGAGAGACAAAACAACCGCCGATCCCAGAAATCAAAACTCATGCCAGTATACAAGTACAAAAGTCAGTTATTTTCCCGGGAATCAGATTCCGGAAGAGAGAAGACAGTCCTGAGACGCCTTGGGGAAATCGAGATCGACCCTTTAACAGATTCGATCGACCCAGAAATGGGCATCGCTCAGAATTGCAGATGAACGACGTAATCGGAAGACGTCCCATCTCTCTGGTGGGTTAAACACACAGAACAGAAGACCAAGAAGCGTTAAGGGTTCGTATAGGGCATACCTTGTCTGATCCGGACGGAGGAAAGCAAGAGGAAGACGAAGATGGAGAAGTCTCCTTCTCGAGAAATCTACACGGAACATCATCATGATTCGCTTCTCCAAACAACGATGTTATCGTCTTCCCAAACAACTTTATCATCGCCATATCTCTAGTTTCAGACATAGCGAATTCCAAGTACAGACACAGACAGAAATAAACTGAAACTGAAATCGATTTATGTCATTTTTTTCCTCGTTCCAGAGAATGATTGTTTAATCGAAAGAAACATCGAGTCCTGGAGAGGAGGGGCTCGGGCTGCGGTTTTAAAGAGGGACGAGGAACGATGGACAGCAAGTACAGAAGAGAGAGAGAGGAGAGAGAAAGTGGAAGGTGCCACGTCATCATAGAGAGAAGGGCCTTGAGAGCCACATGTTGAAGCGAAGTGGGATTTGAGATCTATTCACGCTCCCTTTTTATTCCCCCTTCCATCCGTACACCTCGTAGATTTTTCCCTTTATTGCCACGTCGGATTTTTTCCTCCTTTTTTTTTTCGTAAAATCCTTCGATATATTCTTATATTCATATTCATTTCGTTCTTTTAATAAAGGTAAAAAATATATATATTAAGGAATACTAATTCATTCACCTTAATTTTCCCTTTGGATAATATTCCTTTCCAATCTCAACCAAGAAAAAAACATGTGGAGGAAAAGCTTCTACACCCATTTGCCCTTCTTCCTCCCTACTGTCCACTAAGGATGTGTCTTTGTAAGGTGACCAAAATCAATCGTATGTGCGTACCAAATGGACCGATCCGGCCCGAGAGCTCGCATTCGGTCCGAGAGTTTTGGGTTTGAAATGGGGTCGGTTCGTTTTTTTTTGTTTATACCATCGAGTCTGAAGTTTGAACCTAGAAGATTCGACTAGAGTTTGAATTCAGATTTAGATTCAAATTTGGTGTAAGGTCGAACTGGTTATTTTAATATTTTATTTATATAATGATTAGGGATGACTATTTCGGTTATTAACCGAACCGAATCGAACTGATAAGACATAACCGTATCCAAACCGAATCCAACATCAGAACCGAACGGTTATGACTTTTGAAACTTCGAAAAAATCGAAACCGAATCGAACCGAACCGAATAAAAAAATAACTAAAAAACCGATAATTTCTTTTAAAAAATGAACTTTTTACCGAACCCAAACCAAAAAATAACCGAACCGAAGTTTCTATAAAAACCGAATGGTTATAATTTTTCTATAACCGAAATAATAGAACCCGAAACGAATCTTGAATTGGCCACCCCTAATAATGATTTCAAATCTGAAAATTCAGTTTAAAAATTTGATATTTTCAGGGTGTATTCAAGTTATGTTTACCAGTCAATCCAAGCCAGTCGGGCTAACATGTCATGCCACGTCAGCTGAAAGTTCGCACGTGTGGGTCGCACATTATAGAAAAGGGGGCTGAAGGATCCAAGCCGTTAATCCTCAGTGAGATTAACGAATGTAGAACACGTGGCAGAATCTGAGCAACAGTTTTGTGAGGGGCTGCTGTAGAGGATCCAACATAGCAAGGTTTTGTTTCGCTTAAAAGGGCGATTCTCGTTATGGTAGTTAAATGGCTGGTGTTTGCCACGTGTCAGTTTTAAATAAGAGATAAGGTTGGACCATATCATTTTCTCTTATCCCATGAAGCCTCTGGATATTAAATAATTTACGAATTTCACAAAATTTTTCTTTATAAGAGAAATAATAAAGAATCATTAGATTTTTCATTATTTAATATAAAACATTACAATATTTGTAAATAGAAAATAAAATCACTTTAAATATATAGAAATAATATCAAATCTAAATCTTCTCAATTTTTCTCTAACAATCTTTTATAATATATGTATATATTATACATCGTGAAGTCATCATGGCAAAAATATTAGATTTTAAGTGGTCCATTAGTGGGTTTCGAATGAGATGGCAAGTGTAATGTAAATATAAGAAGTAAATGGAGTTATAAGGTAGAAGTATTCAAATAATTTATTACAATTTTATAATTTGAGATGTGACAGCAGACTGAAATATATGAATATTTATATTTCTCTACACAATAATATAATTCTTTTTCTTGTTTTTTTTTCCTCCTTTTTTTTTAAAAAAAATGGACGTTGATACTTTAATTTTTTTTTTTACCGGAGAAACCAAACCAAATTTTATATTAGACCGTAACCTGGGAGTCTTTGAATTGTATGGGCTTTCATTTGTGAGCCCATAAATGGGCCATTCAAATCCGGCCCATTATAAAAAGAATGCCACTAAAACGAGCCCTACTCGCGTCGTTTATTCACAAGTTGTGTATATCTGAAACAATGCGATACATGTGTGTGTGTGTATATATATATATATATATATATATACGAGATACGCAGTTCTTCGATCAGGTGACGCGTGAATGACGTCACACTCGGGGTTGGACAATGGAACCACAGAGATTAATAATTTAACTTTATTTAATTATTTAAATGAAGATATTTGGTTCGTTCGTAGGTGAGGAGGTGCTTTAAAGAGAAGGGGGGGAAAAGGAAAAGGGAAACATGTGGATCTGCGCTATGTTGCAAAAAAAAAAAAAAAAAAAAGAAATGGGTCCCTTGAAAGATAATAATAATCGATTGATTTCATACTGCTTTCGATCGATCCATCAAATTTTTTTTAAAAAAAAGCATCTCTCGATATTCCCCTTTTATTCATTCACTTCTTTCTTTCTTCTTTCCTCCCCCATCACGTCTACGTTATATGTATGTATGTATGTATGTATGTATGTATGTATGAATCCCAATTAGATTGAAAAGAGATTTATCAATTCTTACAGTGGTTACAATGGCATATAAGTATGCGTATATATTATTTGGTTTAAATAATTTAGGTGGCAAAACCAATGATATTTACTAATATATAATTATTTCTTGATGATGTGTTATCTTGTTTAATATAAACCCTAAAAAAAGGATCATAAATTCGTGATGTGTTACGAAAGAGCTCGGTTTGGTTTATTTCATTTCGTGATACAGAATAATTCTCCGACAAATAATTACAGAATATATATATATATATATATATATATATATATATATTATAATTTCCTCCTTTTATAAAAAAGACCCCAAATATGAAAAACAGCTGGTTATTATAAAAGAGAAAGGTAGGTTGAGTATTATTATCACCTTCTCTTTGCTTTGCTTGTTTTTCAAACATTCGGGCCACATATATATAATATATACATAGTGTGTTTGTGTGTGTATGTGTGTATGTATGTGTGTGAGAGGAGAGAGAGAGAGAGAGGAGAGAGAATATGGATTGAATGATTATAAATAATATTCCTTTCTTTTGGAAATGAACAAATGGAAGATGGCGACTCAAACATAAACTCGAAATTAAAAGGGACGTTATTTTGGAGAAGATGCTTCTCCACAACATCAAGCAATCAACACAAACACTATTTTTTTTATACTTTTATTTTTTTCTATTTTTAAAACTACATAAATGTGTTTATATATTGAGAATTCCGATGATCTAAACATATACCGACATTGTTTTATGAGTCAAACATTATATATCATGTTTCTTTGAAATTTTGTTTGAATAATATTTATTAATAATAATAATAATTATTATTATTATTTAATCTCAATCATACAATATTGAATTGAATGTGTGGATCTCATGGCCTTCCAAATTTGGTCTTGGCTTATACCGTTGGATTCTATCTATTTAAAATTTTAAATGATGGTTATTCATCAAGATTAACACTCCTAAAAAAATTCCAGTTATATATTTATATAATCATCTCTAAATTTTATGCTTCATATATAAATGCTATATATATAGATATATGTTGTCGTACACTAAATAATTAACAATTAAACACATTGTTTACTTACTATTGAACAAGGAATAATTAAGATTAAGAAAAGAAAAAGGGATTAAGGGACTAATCATTGAACTTCGAAGCTCGATCTGATTCCACGAGCTTTTCCCGGTTCGCTCTCTCATCCAATCCATCACACAAACTCCTGTCTTCTTCTTTTTTTTTTTACTTTTTATAGTCCTTTGATTTTTTTGTTTAAAGATAACAAAAAAATAGAGATTATTGAATATTTATTAGAGATAAAAAATAGAAATTTCAATCGAATCAAAACGACTACTATCCAAGAATTACTGAGTTTTTTTTGTATTTTTTTTTTATTTTCATTGAAAATTCTTGATACATTCTTACAACTGCCTAAGCATTTATGTTTTGGAATAAGTTTGTTTCGCTCTTTTAGTCTTTCTTACAAACATATGTAAACTTGTTTTTCCACGTCACTTTCTGAGATAGAATATTTATTTTATATATATATATATATATATATATATATATATTCCCATTTGGTTGTCGGCACTTGCAAACTTGTTTTCGTAGTTTCTCTTTGATGAGTTTTTTGTTTGTTGGTGAAAAAAAAAATCAATACATTTCTTCCGGTCGGGAATTTAGTTCGAACCGAATAACATTCGGTTTTAATTTAGTATATATTTTTTTTATAGAACAACCATGCAAATACTGAACTGAACCTGGCAAGTATCAAACTAAAATCTAAATTATCCACTAAATTATATGTAAATGTTATATTTCATGTTTATTTGGTATTCGTATAATAATACCGTTTCAAATCGAACCGACACTAAAACTGAAACAAAGGCAACTATTTAATGTTGGGTTTTAGTTTCCAATTGTATCCATACATTTAGTCGGTCTAATACAAACCTAATCACGCACATATTGAACAGAATAAATAAATATTATCAAATATTTTAATAATGTCTCTGTGAGATCATAAGATTGAACTTTCATTCAATTCAGTGTGGATTCCAGCGTTTCTTTTGATTATAAAAAAAGATTGAACTTTCATTTTGGAAAAAAAAAATTGAACCATATATAATAAATTTCATAATATATTGAAATCAGAAAAAGAAAAAAAAGTAGAATAAATTGGAACACTTTTTCTTTTGCACTATTACAAGATGAAGCATATATAATACATTTTCCTAATATTTGTCATAACATGAAGAATTTATATTTTTAAAGTATAAGCATGCACATTTAAATGGACCATGCGAGTACGTAACTAAACTAATAATAACCACGTACAAATTTTCAAATACCATATATATATATATATATATATCAATTAAAGATATAAATTTTATGATATATGATAATATTAGATATAGGGTAATGATAATTTCATTGAAATGTAACAAGGAGAAAAAGGCGTAGAAAGATGTCCGTACACTAAGAAATGTACCTTCCCATATATATATAGTGCCCTACAAAATATATTATATGTATGTGTAAAAACGTCACGATGGTTTGTCTATTTCAGATGACTAAAATATCCCTTCCATGATTTGATTTTGCTGGTATTTAATTAAACACATCTGAATTTACAAACTTATAATTCATATATTTGATTTGATTATCCTGAAATTTTCAATGGCATAATTGTATTAAATATGTACTAAAATAAGTTTTTAAAAAAAAATCCAGATTTTTCACTCCAATAATGACTTTTTTAAGATTAAAAAATCACATTATTCTTGTGTGACCATTTCGGATTACACGTTAGATATTTTTTATTTGTTTAATAATTTTTAGCAAAATAATAATAGTATATTATTATTATTATTATTATTTTGATTGTGAGAGGCTATAAAGAAAAATAAGGTTGAGGGGGTGTTTTCTTTTAAAAGGTTGTGGAGATGTTGGATTCTTTGATTCCTCCATCCCTACATACAACCAAAAGAATCTGCCAATTGCAGCCACTTTTCTTTCCCAAATTTTAAAATTAAAATTAAAATTAAAATTAATTATCCTATTCACTCCCATTCATTATTCATATAAATACAAGCACAATCACGATTATGGCTATTGATTAATTTTCTGTCAATTCCACAATCTTTTCAAACGATCCCAAATTTATGGCATCGCCCATCATTTCTTTAATTTAAACCCCCCCCTTAACATATATATAATTACATAAAGACATTACGAATTCTTCAAAATTTTCCCAACACCCTAAAAATTGTAAAAATATAATTTTTTTTTTTATAAAAATAAAGAAGAAAAATAATTGAAAAGTTGAATGTATGTAATGGAATGTAAAAGAAAAAAAAATAAGAGGGATTGAGATAGGGTGGGGTGTCCATTAGGATAGTGTGGCTAATACCAAAAACGAAGCATACAACCTTTTTTTATAATATGATTTTTATTGCATAATAGATTCTGTCTAACCACAACAAGTCAAATAAGCAAATGAAACACGAAATTACAAGGAGAAAAGGGGGGAAAAGTGGTGTGTAATTGGGAAAAAGAGCAAATGAAAGGAAATGAATATCAACAATTTTTTAAAATAAATTAAATAAAAAAAGAAAGATATCGCCACAACAATAGAAAAAAAAATCAAAATAATTGACAATAAAAATAATTAAAAAGGAAAATGGGAAGAAGAAAGGGTCAAGACAAGAGAGAGAGCATATATTCCCTCCTCCAACATAACCCCACTCATGTTTCCTGATATGGAGTGATGGTAATAAGAAAAACACAGAGGAACAAGAAAATGAGCCGAGACTATAAAATTCGCCTCACTTGTGCCAACAAATCCAACGATATCTTAAATTAAAACCCTTTTTTCCACTTCTTCTTCTTCTGCTGCTGCTGCTGCTGCTGCTGCTCTATGTGTTAATGGCAATGGAGAGTGATCAGAGAGCAAGCATGAATCTGGTGCTGTCTACTGATGCAAAACCCAGATTGAAATGGACTTCTGAACTTCATCACATGTTCGTCGAGGCTGTCTGTCAGCTCGGAGGACCAGAAAGTTCTGTCTCTTCCTGTTCTTGTCTTCTTCTTTTTTTTTTGGTCTGAAACTATTTTTTTTAATATTTTATCCATTACCCATTTCCTGAATCTCGATTTTTCCTCCGTTTTGCTTCAGAAGCGACGCCGAAGGGGTTGATGAAGGTGATGGGGATTCCTGGGCTTACGCTGTACCATCTCAAGAGCCATTTACAGGTTCAAGAACTTGTATCGATTTGATTTTACTCCATTTGATTTTAGATTCCTTTTAGCTTTCGTATCTGATGTTCGATCGTTGTTTCTTTTTTTTCTTACCGCAGAAATATCGGCTTGGAAAGAGCCAGCAACCCGATGGGAGCTGCGTCGTTGATAATAAGCAAGAAGGTTTGCAAGTTCTTAGATTTATGTTTCAAAATCTCCGGGTTTTATGTCTGAACTCTGATTTGAGAAAGTGGGTTAATGTTTTTTTTTTTCTTCCCGTTCTTGGTTCTTGTTTTTGTTTCTCTTCAGCAGTTGCATCGTCCTCGGAGGAAGAACGACTAGTTCAGAGCAGCGGAAACGATCATGAAAATGTGAAAGGCAGTGAAATACATGACGAGTAAATGATCCAAGATTGTGTTTCTAATGGATTATAATGTCTTGGAATCAAATCATGAATGATCCTTTTCTTTTTTTTTTTTGCGCAGAAGCAAGCAGATGGCGGATGCTCTACAAATGCAGATGGAAGTTCAGAAAAAGCTGCACGAACAGATTGAAGTAAGTTTCCGATTGTCCTGAGAAACCCCCAGAAAACATCTGTCTCTCTCTCTCTCTCTCTCTCCATTGATCTTTGTTGAAAAACCTCTCTTTTGAAAGTAAAATATATCCAAAAAAATATTAAAGGATATTCATAGCAGAAAATGTTTTATAGGAAACAGAACGAAATGTGGATTTACGCATGATTACTGATACAATAAAAGTGACTTTGACATTTAGAGAGAGAGAATGAGTGACATCATTCGTGAGAGAGAGACTAAAAATTGAATGCCAAAATGATAATATTTATTCATTCCCTAATGTGCGTTTTATACACGTCGACGCCAACTTCTCAATCCGTCAAAACTGGCCCACGTGCATGACTTTGCACGATTAATGTGTTTTCCCAAAGAATCGGTCACAGTAACGTCGGTTCTTCGTAGACTTCTTCCGCGAGATGGATTTCTTCATCATTTTTTTCGTTTTTCGATCTAGGACATTCAGAAGCGTAATGCCCATACTTTTGACAAGTAAAACATTGTATGTGTCCTTTATCACGTTCGCCTCTTCCGCGTCCACGACCTCTTCCACGTTTTTGTCGAGTTTGCCACTCTGCATAAGTGAGCAAAAGTTGTCCATCGGAGTTATCACCCATATTGCGCATCCGAATGATCCGGTCCTCAAATACTTTCATTCTCCCGATCGCTTCCTCGAACGGCATGTTATCAATATCTGAATACTGTTCTATAGATGCAACTAATTGAAAAAACTTATCTGGCATCGAATCAAGAAGTTTCCTAACGAGTGCGCCATCCTCGAGAGTAGCACCAAGATCGCTGTATTTGGTGACCATACTGCTCAGTTTCCCGACAAATTCATCAATCGTCTCACCTTCATTCATACGTAAAGCGTCGAATTCACTTTTCAAGGTTCGCAAACGTGCCTTCTGCACACGATCAACCCCCACGTACCGGGTCTTCAGGGATTCCCAAATCTCACTGGCGGATTTCTTCTTTGCTATCTGCATAATTTTGAATTGTGTTTTGAGTTTATTTAACTTTTGATGTTTGCCCATACTGTGATCTTTTTGGACCAACATTCAGGAGAACAATATTATTACCTAAAGTTATTAAAGCTCATATAGTTTTCCTTGGTAAATAAAGAATGCAACTCTTTTTTTTTTTGAAACTTGCTTTAAAGAACTTTGCTTCAACAGGAAAAGATTCTGTCTCAGGCAGTAAAAAAAAAACTGGATTTGCTTCTAATTTAGAAATAAAATAACGGCAACGAATTACATAGCTTTAGTCAAATGCTTATTTGGAGCTATGGACCCAATTAACAAAATCCGGGAAATAGTAATAAAAAAAAGAACAATTTTTTAACATGGGTAAAAAAATAATTAACACGTCACCGGAAAAAGATTGGATTCGAATATCTCCCGAGATATTTGTTGGGATGTAATGCGGTCTTGTCATAAAACAACAACTAAAAAAAGCCCCAACATGCTCATGGTCGGTCTCATTATAATCTCTCACTGCTTTGTTGGATCCTTTAGATGATTTTGCTTCTTCATTTCATAAAGTTCCCACCTTTTCTTTTCATCACCTTTTTCCCTCCCCAAATCCGCTTTTACCACATCCACAAGTCAACCCCCATCTAATTCATATTATATACACATATACATACGCATGTACGGCAGAAACTTATATATATTTATATCATGTCTATGTTATTTAAAACATTATCTAAGAAAAACCCAAGATTCTTTCGTGGTTCAGGTCTCTAAATTCTACGTTCGGACAAATTTTCCATGTCTTTCTTGTTGTAACTAGCTCAAACTCAATCTCAAGTGTTCGCCTTCAAAGGCTCTCTTCCCTCTCGGCGGCTGTTCCACGTGAGCGTCGTCGTTTAGGGTCCTCTTCTTTCTGTTCAACGCTTCTGGTTTGGTCTCCATTAATGGAAGCTCGATCGATCTCCTCGTGACGATCTCGTAGTTGTCTGATTTCGTGTCTGTGCTCTCCGACGATGTCATCGAGCTTTCGGCCGAACACCTTGTCTGAGATCCTGCGTTTTCTGGTTTCTTGTGATCCAAGAAACCTCTTTCTCCTTCTCCTTCAGCTTCTGTTATATCTGAGAAGGAAGAACTAGGGCAACCTCTGTTCACCATTGATGCTAATTTAGAGAGTTCGGCTCTGGCGAAATCTAGGCCAAGATTCGAGGAAGTGTAACCGGCTAATGTTTCTCGAGCTTTCTCCAACACGGACTGTAGATACTTCCCTTGTGCCTCTATCCTTACCTGCAAATGCCTCTGAACCTAAAAAAACAAGAATTTAAGAATACAGACACGTTCTTGGATCGATCCGGACAAGATTGTTGGAGATATAATCTTGTCATCGAAAAAATAAAATTTGTTTTATTTATGTTTTTGAATGTTTGCATCGTTCACTCGGTCAAGGAATGACCGATTCTTTGGGAAAACACATTAATCGTGCAAAGTCATGCACGTGGGCCAGTTTTGACGGATTGAGAAGTTGGCGTCGACGTGTATAAAACGCACATTAGGGAATGAATAAATATTATCATTTTGGCATTCAATTTTTAGTCTCTCTCTCACGAATGATGTCACTCATTCTCTCTCTCTAAATGTCAAAGTCACTTTTATTGTATCAGCAATCATGCGTAAATCCACATTTCGTTCTGTTTCCTATAAAACATTTTCTGCTATGAATATCCTTTAATATTTTTTTGGATATATTTTACTTTCAAAAGAGAGGTTTTTCAATAAAGTGGTATCAGAGCTCGGTCGGTAGGACCTGTGCTTGGTCGGGAGGACCCATATCTGGTCGGGAGGACCTGTGTCTAGTCGGGAAGACTTGTATGAGTAACTATGTCACTCATCACGCAAGGTTTACTTTCAAAAGAGAGGTTTTTCAACAAAGTGGTATCAGAGCTCGGTCGGTAGGACCTGTGCTTGGTCGGGAGGACCCATATCTGGTCGGGAGGACCTGTGTCTAGTCGGGAAGACTTGTATGAGTAACTATGTCACTCATCACGCAAGTCTCACTGGCGGATTTCTTCTTTGCTATCTGCATAAGAACATCTTCCGGTACCGTTTGAAAGATGAACGCTCGAGCTACCTTATTCTTTTTCTCGTCTACGACCACTCCGGTCGCAGGTTCAACTGCGTCCCAGATCCCCTGGGCATCCATTATCGCCTCCATCTTGATTGCCCATGTCGTATAATTGGACGACGTCAACATGGGGCATTGCAACGACACTCCGCCGTTTTCCTTTACTCCTTGCGTGATGAGTGACATAGTTACTCATACAAGTCTTCCCGACTAGACACAGTGTCCTGAGAAACCCCCAGAAAACATCTGTCTCTCTCTCTCTCTCTCTCTCCATTGATCTTTGTTGAAAAACCTCTCTTTTGAAAGTAAAATATATCCAAAAAAATATTAAAGGATATTCATAGCAGAAAATGTTTTATAGGAAACAGAACGAAATGTGGATTTACGCATGATTACTGATACAATAAAAGTGACTTTGACATTTAGAGAGAGAGAATGAGTGACATCATTCGTGAGAGAGAGACTAAAAATTGAATGCCAAAATGATAATATTTATTCATTCCCTAATGTGCGTTTTATACACGTCGACGCCAACTTCTCAATCCGTCAAAACTGGCCCACGTGCATGACTTTGCACGATTAATGTGTTTTCCCAAAGAATCGGTCATTCCTTGACCGAGTGAACGATGCAAACATTCAAAAACATAAATAAAACAAATTTTATTTTTTCGATGACAAGATTATATCTCCAACAATCTTGTCCGGATCGATCCAAGAACGTGTCTGTATTCTTAAATTCTTGTTTTTTTAGGTTCAGAGGCATTTGCAGGTAAGGATAGAGGCACAAGGGAAGTATCTACAGTCCGTGTTGGAGAAAGCTCGAGAAACATTAGCCGGTTACACTTCCTCGAATCTTGGCCTAGATTTCGCCAGAGCCGAACTCTCTAAATTAGCATCAATGGTGAACAGAGGTTGCCCTAGTTCTTCCTTCTCAGATATAACAGAAGCTGAAGGAGAAGGAGAAAGAGGTTTCTTGGATCACAAGAAACCAGAAAACGCAGGATCTCAGACAAGGTGTTCGGCCGAAAGCTCGATGACATCGTCGGAGAGCACAGACACGAAATCAGACAACTACGAGATCGTCACGAGGAGATCGATCGAGCTTCCATTAATGGAGACCAAACCAGAAGCGTTGAACAGAAAGAAGAGGACCCTAAACGACGACGCTCACGTGGAACAGCCGCCGAGAGGGAAGAGAGCCTTTGAAGGCGAACACTTGAGATTGAGTTTGAGCTAGTTACAACAAGAAAGACATGGAAAATTTGTCCGAACGTAGAATTTAGAGACCTGAACCACGAAAGAATCTTGGGTTTTTCTTAGATAATGTTTTAAATAACATAGACATGATATAAATATATATAAGTTTCTGCCGTACATGCGTATGTATATGTGTATATAATATGAATTAGGTGGGAGGGGGGCAGACTTGTGGATTTGGGGAGGAAAAAGGTGATGAAAAGAAAAGATGGGAACTTTGTGAAATGAAGAAGCAAAATCATCTAAAGGATCCAACAAAGCAGTGAGAGATTATAATGAGACCGACCATGAGCATGTTGGGGCTTTTTTTAGTTGTTGTTTTATGACAAGACCGCATTACATCCCAACAAATATCTCGGGAGATATTCGAATCCAATCTTTTTCCGGTGACGTGTTAATTATTTTTTTACCCATGTTAAAAAATTGTTCTTTTTTTTTACTACTATTTCCCGGATTTTGTTAATTGGGTCCATAGCTCCAAATAAGCATTTGACTAAAGCTAGGTAATTCGTTGCCGTTATTTTATTTCTAAATTAGAAGCAAATCCATTTTTTTTTACTGCCTGAGACAGAATCTTTTCCTGTTGAAGCAAAGTTCTTTAAAGCAAGTTTCAAAAAAAAAAAAAGAGTTGCATTTTTTATTTACCAAGGAAAACTATATGAGCTTTAATAACTTTAGGTAATAATATTGTTCTCCTGAATGTTGGTTCAAAAAAAGATCACAGTATGGGCAAACATCAAAAGTTAAATAAACTCAAAACACAATTCAAAAGGGGAAAAAAATGAAGAAACCATTGGATATATACACTAAGCTGAAGTAATTATACAGATAAAAAAAAATGATGTAAATTCCCAGTGACTATATATATATATATATATATATATACTAAACCCAAAAACAAAACAAAAAATCAAAGCAAAATATACGCCTAACTTCACATTTTCTACTACAAAAAAAAAAAAAAAAAAAAAAAAAAACGGGATGATTCGGTACAAGTAACTAACCTGAAACGACTCGTATTCCTCTTTTCTCTCTCTGTTCTGCAAAATTTCTTTGTCTGGTTCTGTATATTTTCAGACAAAGACAGAACATTGTTGCGTTTGTTGTTGTTTTTTATATGAATTTTTGTAGCGTTTGTTTACCAGTCGCCGCAGCAATGTGAGCGTTTGGTTTCGAGGATTTTGCGCCAGAGGCAGATGAGTTCTGCCGGGCCTTGGTAGTGAGCAACTACGAATCCGTCCTTACATCCGTCGTTGATGATCCTTCCATCGTTCTCGTAATGGATCTCCACTCCTTGATTCTTCATATCCGCTATCCATATCCCCATTGCCACATCTTCTAGCTTAAACATCTGTGCATTTCATAACAAGAATTCCTACATGTAACATCAGCTGATGAAATTTCACTTTCTTCGTAGAGGAACTGGTGAGTTTGGCCATTGTGTAAATGCGAAAAAAGGAAGCAAATGCCAGAAAATGGGCACCTGGTTGTGTTGTGGAAAAGGAAAGAACAGACTAGTAAGCTTACCTTTAGGCGTCCTTCTTTGAAACGGTTGTCGACCGATTCTGCTATGTCCCAGGACACAATGTAGCCAGGACCATGAGCCCATGGAGGGTATTTCTCTTCTGGCCATTCCTATTTGCATAAAAAAAATTCGGATCAGAAATTGGGTAACTTCTTCAGACCATTATTAGAAGAGTAGACTATGTACCTCGTAGCTGATGTACCACTTGTTATCAGGGTTTCGTATCGGTTGGGAGTCTGAGTTGATGAGTCCATATAGCAAACCATGCGTGGAGTTTACCATCGATAAGGAGTATATCAGTTCATCCACGCGTACGAAGGCATCATCGTCTGTCTTCATGATAAATTTTGCTGACACAACCTCTGTCTGTTCAAGAGAAGCTGTCCATGAGGCAAAAGGGGGGAAGGTTTTCCCCTTGTTTAAAGGAAGAGACAAGACAATTACCCCATATATGCAGATGGCTAATGTTTTCCAGCTGATGAGGCTGTAGTAATCAACAAAGGGCATTAGCTGAATGTCAGAGTAGGTCCGAGCCTCGTTCCACAGTTCCTGGTTAACAATATGGTTTTTATGCTGCAAATTACCCAATAAAAAAAATCTTTTTGTAAGAAAGCTGCAGAAGAAAGCGAAGCAGACATATGTGACTGGTTATTTCTGAAACAAGATATTGGTCTCGAAAGGGAAAGCTTACAAGACCAACAAAAAAACGGACAGCAACTGTTCCAGATCGAACAGCATCATACTGCATCCATGTTCTTCTGACAGCCATCCTACGTTTAAAATTGTTTGCGGTGGAAAAAACGCCAATAACAAGGTCTGGAGATCTTGAAGGAGAAAGAGAAGGTGCTTTCAGTTCCTCTAGATCAACAATGTGCTCCGATTCTTCTGATGAGGGTAAACCGCTGGCAAGGATGGATATTAATTCCAAGTCACCGGTAATCCGTACTTCACTAACAAGCCATGGCTCCAAGGTCTGACCAAGATGAAGAGCCAACGTAAGAATCTAAAATATGACTAAGAATCACAACATTGGGAGTTAGATCAAGAATGAAATTACTTCACGGAAAGCAAATGATGTTATGTGTTTCCCATCGACGGTCATCTGAATTCCGTCTGTTCCCACTCTAAGTGTTGCAACTGATAAGAACCCCTGCTTGAAAGGAAAATATTGTCCACGTCTAGACCCTTCCCCAGAACCTGGCAGCCCCTTTGTTGCGTTGAAATGAAAGATAGTAGCAGACGTCCGGTTTACTTCTCTGCCTACCATCTTGTTGCACTGATCCAAGTCATCCACTAGAGTATCAAGCATGTCAACCAGCTCAGACATGACAGATCAGATAAACATATGTGTATAAACGGATGAATTTTTAGTTGAATTTACCTTTCTTCAATCCTTCGGGATCAGGTTTTGGACAACGTTCCTCCTCACCCCAACCATGAGACGTCGTCCAGGAGTTTTGAACTATAACAGGGTCCTCAGTCAACTTGTCACCAAGAAGCCTAACATTGTAGTGTAAGACAACGGGTGGATCAGGCTCCCCAGGGAGTGGTTCCCCTGTTAGGTCAATCCGGAAGCTACCAGTCAGACCATTTGGAATGCCGATAACCGTGATGGAGGAACCTTGAGTCAGGCCACAAGGAATTTTCAGCTTCAAACTACTACCATCAACTTCAGTAGCATTCATTTTGCTAAGAAACTGAGGACAATGCCTCTCATTCCCTTTCACAGTACGATTTTCATTCGTATGACCCAGTTTTTCGGCTTCAACCGAAGCCATAAGTCTCTCCCAAGCAAAGCCAGCTTCCTTTATGGCATCAGGTCCATTTGCTAAGCTTTGTGCATGGTCAATCAGTTTGTTCAGACGGTTCCAGGTTCGCAAAGATTGCCGCTCTCCATCAGAGACATTTCTCTCGGAAAATAGGCCCAACACAACAGCATCACCAGATACTATCACTTCAGAAGTCTTCTTCTCCCCTTTCACGAAGTCAGGAACCGTGATTTGCAGCCATTCAAGAGGAAGAGTAGTGTTAGGAGTTATAGGAGTAAAGTTATAAGTCCTGGAGCCCGTGAAGTAAGTGTTTTCAATAGGACTTTTCAAGTCAACAAATCTGAACACCATTAAGAACATGAACAGTGATGCAACAAGCAGGCAGCCATAACACTTCTTCATTCTGCCAATTAAGTAGAAGCAGCGACCAGCAGACCGACAATAGGATCAAACTTTAAACCAAAAAAAAAGACAATAGGATCAAACTAAAAAATTCACATCAATCGACAAAATGTTGCCTTCGAATCCAAGTTGTCTCTCAACCCTGAAACACGGACAAGTAAGGTTTGACAATGGGTTACGGCCAAACCTCATCTAATCGGCACAAGATACAGAAATTCGCAGCATCAACCTAGGAATCAACACATTTGCTATCACTTGCAACAACAGATCCAGGGTAACAATTTTCGATCAGAATAAGAGGTTCAACCTTCACAGGTATCGCCGAAAAACACGAGAAAGAGAGAAATGCGGGAAAAGTAAGAGATTGAATCAGAACAGGTACCATCGCCGACAAAATGCGAGATGAACGTTGAAGAAAACCGAGTTTACTAGAGCACATCAGATGCTCTTGCGGCAATGCAAACTAAAATTAAACCAGTAATCGTCAAATCTGGGCTTCCTAAAATCATCGGGAGAACAAGTAACCTACTTCGATCAATTTTTCTCGGCACCCATACTGAAGCCAAAAAATCTTCACAGCCTGAGAAGTTACTCAGTTCCTAGAATTGCGGCTACCTCACTAACCAACCAGATCAGAGCATGAAAACGCAAGAAATATCAGAGAAACAATGCAAAAGAACTTACAGATTCAGCTCGAACTATCACAAAAACGAACTCCAAACAAGGCGAGAGAGAGAGAGAGAGAGACTGCGGAGAGGAAGAAGCAATGGCGAAACTAGCCGTTCTGAGAATCCATACGCCGAAATGCGGCGAGAAATTGGGGAAATTTTTCCAGGAAAATGGATCTCTCAGATCTCTGAAGCTCTCGAGTTTTTTCTCGAAGAACCTTTCTTTCACTCGACGCGAAAACGAGTTCTTCTTCTCCTTCTTCCATGAAATACGATTAACAAAAAAAAAATGCTGTAAAAAATACAGTAGAAAAAAAAATGGTTACCGGATAGTGGGCCCGGATTCGCCGGTAAAACTGTGCCACGTATTTGAGAGATATGACGTGGCATATGCAAATTAATCATTATTGCTTTTATTTCCCATTTTATCTTTAGAGGGGATTTAATGTCACAGGCGGAGGAGTCATTGGAACTCACAGCTTCATTTCATTGGATCGATTTTGCTGAGATAAACGGCTAGGATGAGTTTGAGGCTATGACCGTGACAGGTGACCTATGTTGCTTTTTCCTGCTAGATTTCAGGTGAAAATATTGGTCATTCTACTTCGGGTTTGGGTAAAGGTCATATTTTTCCTTTCTTGAAATTTTCAATATTTTTTTCCTCTATATATACTTATATATTTCCTTGACGAACTCTAATTTAAAATTTTAAAAAAATTATCACAACTAAATTTAAAAATAAACCATATCACTAAAAGGTAATAAAAAAAGCAAATATGCAGTTTATAAAAAAAACAGCTAAATATATAATATTGAACATACACGAGAAAATGAGAAAATATAAATATATGTTTCTAGTTAGTAGAATAAATAATAAAAAATCAAATTGAGGAATTTTCATTTGATTGTGTTGACAGACGTGACAAATCTTTTCTGTAAGATTATTACACAACATTGACGATAATGGAAGATTTATTTTTCTATGTTTGGGCATAATTAATAATTATTGCGTAATTTAAATGATTTTTTTTTTCAATTTTTATTTTGAAGTTTTGAAAGTTGTTTCTCCAACGATCGTAGGACAAGGTTGGCGTGAAATGTGGTTTATCATTTGTAAGTTGTAACGCACCACCTCATCGAGTCACAACAAATATTCTTTTTTTCATTTGTTTTTTTTTTAGCTTTTAATTTAGTTGGAGAAAAATAATAATTAAAGTGTTGATTTCACGTTGAATGCATCGACGGCTTTATTAATTCGGTTTCGAGTTTGGCTCCGTTTAATTTTACATGAAAATAAATATTGTGTTTAAAATACCTTTATTTAATTAGAATTATTTTTCTCTAATTAATGATAGTTTGTTATTATCTTTCCCAATATATCAGCTAAAATTACATGTAAATTTCAACCGACGGAGTATATATTATTTAAATGTGTATTTTTGGTTCGTGATTTATAAGTTATGGAAGTATTTGTTTTGCGTAGTTAACACCTTAACCCAAAAAATATATATAACATGATGGACTTACTAATGCATGAACAAATTTATCATAAAATATCTCACAAATATGAGAGAGATTTAAACCAAAAAATAAAACACATCAAAATTGGAATCAGAGATTACGACGTTTAAGGCTTTGGTATTTCTTAGAGATGGCATCGCGATGAGGGATGCGTTCTGCACGAGAGGGCAACTGAAAACGGCAGTTAGGGCATTGGTTCCCTCTCTGAAGCCATTCTTCGATGCAGGATCTGTGGAAGAGATGAGAGCAAGGCATTCTCGTTGCTTCCTCCCCAAGAAACATCCCCTCTTGGCAGATCGTGCATGGCTCCAGTTCATCCATGTCTTCTCCAAGGATCTTCACTCTCTCCAGTCTGCACACCGACGTTTCTTCCGCCGGAATCGGACCGCTGAAGAATCTAACCCCGTGTCTGATCGCTTCGCTTCTTGCCCCTTTCGCTCTTTTGTCCAAATCGAACGGAATCTCCGTCTCCTTGACGCCGATTTCAGACATCAAATCTTGGATGGATGTCTTCCATAACGGCACCGACAGTACATTCTCGTTGTTCTCGACTCGTCTTCTTATCATCTCTGCAATCTTGGCTTCGATCGTCCGGTGAAATTCTTCGTCCTCGCGCTCTTGAAGCTTCGTCTGGAAATCCACGCTCGTGAGCCAGATTGTTTTATTGGCGCAGATTCTGAGAGGGACCCATCTTCGGTCCGACCAAGACTTCTTGTTCTCCTTGGAATACTCCACGAATCTCTTGACGATCTCGATCTTGTCATTGAATTTCAGCCCGATCAAAGGCACGTTCTCGTCGATCTCACGTGCCAAAGTCATCAGGGCTTGCGACTGATCGTCGGATTCCAAAGCTGTCGCGAGAAAAGAACACGGGAATCTGAAACGGTATTCCTGATCAGTGACTGGAAGAGAACGGTCCAGTTTCTTGTCTCCCCACTTGTGTTCGTTCGCGTAAACGACTTCGACTTTGAGCTTGATGAAGAACTGCTCGTACGGAACAGTTTCCTCATCGTCTTCTCTCTCGCTTATCTTCTCCGGAAACTCGACGGCAAAATCTACGCGGGAAAACGCGACGTTCATCCACGGACCGTACACTCGTGTCTTAACCTCGCGAGTTAAAGGCCTTTCCTTTGGGATTTCTCCGCATGATCCATGATCTATCATGCCGCAGCTTTTGCAGAAGCTTCCAAGGTTCTTGTACTTGAACTGAACAAATGAATCGTCGTCGAGGAAGAAACCGGGATTGAGTGGCTTCTTCAGATCGATCTCTGCCCGAACGTAGAAATCCCGCTTCGAGGAATTCAAGTAGACTTTTCCGAGCGGTTTATCGCTGAGAATCTCGCCGATTCTCCGGGATTCTTCGTCGGTGTAACGGCACAATGGCAAGCCCTCGACCTTGACTGAGAACCAGGAGACAGAGAAATCGATGTCGGATAAAGAGAGGTGAGAAGGCCATTGCTTGAGGACCAAGATAACGCCATCGACGTGCCATGTATGTCGGAGAACACTCTTCATGTCGACTTCTAACTCGAAGTTGAACAATATGATATCGTCCTCGATGGGAGAAACGGTCATGTCGCCGGAGGGATCCCAACGTTGACGGAGTGATGTCTCGGTCTTCTCGATCGACGGCGGAGATGAGGCGGTGAAGAACTTTCCGACCAGGCAGAGCATCGGTTCCATCGCTTGTTCTTGCGGGCTCTCTGTAACTAGGGTTTGGAATGCGAGAAAATGTTGAAACGGGTTTGTGGGTCGCTTCTTAAATCTTATATATAGCCATCGAAAACCCTAATCCAGATTATATCTTTCCTTTTCCTTATATTATTTTCCTTAATCATTATTGGGTTTGTTCAATCAGATTGAACTGTAACGTTTCTTATCAGATTGATCTCAACTTTAACAAATTATCTATTAGAGATATACATAGATCTTTGATATTTTATCAAAATATATTACTGTGGTCTATATGAATACAACAACATGGTTTTATATTCAGCGAATCTTGATATTATCCTTTCTTATAATATGTAATCTGTTATTATTTGTTTCCTTTTTCTTATATTATTTTCCTTTTTCATGTTTGTGTTTTTTTCAATGAGATTGAGTTAACTTTATTATCAGTTTCCGTTTTTTTTTTTCACGTTTTGTTAGATAAAAATGGAGAAAAAAGGGAACCTGTTACAAATATTAAAAAAAAATACAATAATTAGAAAACAATCATATAACTAAAAAGGCGAAAATAGATGTTGAAGTTTGAAATTCCAAAAATATTGGAAAAGCCCATATAAAACTATCAAAAGGCCCAACAAGAAATGTGGATAAAAAAGGCCCAACATTAAACTCTATAGTTAATTTTGTGAAACACGTAAAAGTAAGTGAAATGTAAAAGAATAACACTAAAAATAATTAAGATTAAAGTTAAAATATTAAAAAAATTAATAATTGTTCGGTTAACTACAGTTATTCTGGTTATTAACCGAAACGAACCAAACCCGAACGGTTATTGAACTTTCTCAACTGTTCGGTTATTAAATAAATAACCGAACCGAACTGTTATTATTCGATATGATTCAGTTCGATTATTCGGTTAATAACCCAAATGACAACCCCTAATCGAGAGAATATGAAAGTTCATACGTTGAAAATAAAATGATACAAAGAAAAATAGATTTTAAATACATTGAATATCGGAAATATTAGAATCGTGGGAATGAATGCAATTAAAAAAATTAGGCTAATAATTGAGGAGATATATATAACTATAAACATGTATCTTTTTCGAATCTATACAATTTTATGTATGTCAAACTAATTTTTATGCATTATTATCAATTCTTAAATTATGTATTGTATTCTTTTTTTTTTGTAAATAGTTAACAGATTTGACGAATGAGAGAGAATCATAATAAATATTTAGCGAAAGTATAAAATTGTTTTTGACCAAGTTCACTTAAAGAAATTATATGTGTAATGGTTAAATGAATATATTTAAATTTGATCAAATTAACGTAAAGGAGTTATGTCCGTCTTCAATAGTTAAATGAATATATTTTACTTTTAATTTATTACTATAGAAAACAGTGTCACTAGGATGGATACGAATCATATATCTCTAAATTTTTAGGTATTTGTATCCGTATTCCATCCGTGCAAATATTAAGTTTTAGGATAAAATCCCTAAAAAAACCTCGAACTTGCAAAAAAATATATAAATAAATCTCTAACTTGAAAATGTGTCATTTAAACCCTGAACTTGAAATATGTAACTGAATAAAATCTTGAACTTGCAAATTGTTGTTGTAATTGATAACTCGTTGACCAGTTTGACCCAAAATTCATGCCATTGGAAATCCACTTAGGACTGGAAGGCTGACATCATCGTGTCCACGTAAGCAATTTTAAATGTTTTTACCACGTCAACGTATTTTGGTCCAATTTTTTTTTCCAGTTTTTGAGTTAAAAAATCCGGTTCTGAAATATAATAAATCGATTTCGCCCTTTCACCCCTTTAATTATTTCTCCTTTCACAAACCCTAAATTCAAAGTTCGACTTCGCTCCTTCAACCCTAATCTCGTCTGATTTTGTATTATGTTCTTGGGTTTTGTCAAATTCGGTTGTTCCCTCTCTATAAATTCGTTGCTTTTCTCACTATTTCTTCAACCTCTGATCGCCTCTGGTTGTGTCTCTCATCTGCTATGCTTTCTCTCCATACTTTGATGATGGCAGATCTCTGTGAATTGGCTCGACAACGTGAGAGTGAAATCAGAAGACCGCCAAGGAGGTTGTTAGAATCGAACAACTCATCAGCTCCGCTCTCAGAGATGCCCATGTCGCCAGAGACAAAGGTTCTTACACCGTCTCTCATGATGCCTGATGCGTGCTAAGTAGTGTGCGTAGTTTGATCAAGCTTTAATATTTATAAGTCACTTAAGCACACACAACCGCAAGTGCACGGTTATATCGATGGTACTTAAGGTTCGTCCCAAGGGAATGAAATTTTTATTTCTAATAATATTTCTAAAAATCTAGTGAACTAAATCAAGATTCAAACTTTTGATTATCAAAGAGGATGAGAAAAACAAAGTTGGATTCAATATCAAAAGACGTTATGGGAATCGGTATGAACTTAATTCGATGAACAAGCACTAAGAATATGATTATGTGATTTATATGCATTCATGGTGGAACTTTAAACTCTAATCCAAGATCAAATTTCTTACTTATATACTTAAAATTTTCTCATTTCTCAATGATGAAACATAAGTTCTAAGAGCATTACAAGTTCATGTTTAATCAATGTTCCTAGAGAATTCAAGATCATTTCTCAATGAATCATGACTTCTAGATGATAATCTTGTTCATAACATGTTTGGATTTCTCAATTCAAAACATGTTTATAGAATCATGATCAAGAATTAATTCAAGAACAAGCATTAAGACTCAAGATTTCAACACCATGAGCATATGAACACAATATCATCAATCAAGCACAAGCTTATTCATCAAACCAAATTCAACCTATCCCGTAACAAGAGAACTACTCTAGAGCCATGAAATGATCAAGAGACATCATCAAATGATAGAAAACATAAAAACATAAAGATAGAGAGAAGAGAAAGAGAAAGCTTCTCTAGATCTTCAAGACTTGTTCTTCATGCTCCAAGCCTCCAAATCTTCTTCTACTCTTTGTTTTTGTGTTTCTTGTTGTTGTGTGATGAATGAGAGCAGATTAAGAGTCTATTTATAGGAGTTTCTGAAGGGCAAAAGTAGATGGAAATGATGAAATTCGTAGTGGCATGTTAGGTGAGGTGTCTCCATGATGTAAGCCATGATGTCAGCAACCAGAATTTTGCTCAGATGGTAACTGTTCGATGAAGGGCTAAATCTCCACCAAAAATTACGATCTTGTGTCTATGGAAAGCCCTTGATGTCTAGTTTACTGTGAAACAAACGGCGAAGCAATCCGAGCTCCCAATCGAAAGTTATGGAGAAAATAGTACACCCTTCTCATTTTGCTTTTCTGGATCCGAAACGTGACTTGCAACTTTCGGCCACGATTCATGCTTTTTCCTTTCGATCTAAACTTTTCCAGATCATAACTACAATGAGTTGGTGATCTTTTAAAATTGGAATCACGTCATTTGGACTTCAGATAAGAAATTTATAGTCAAATTCGTCCAAACTGTCAAAACTGCCCATGAAACCGAGTTTGCTCCATTTTTGTTCCATTTTTGCCAAATGTTTCCAAAATAATTTTTTTCATCTACAAAATATGAAACACACAAAAAACAAACCAAAATATTCCTAATCTAAATATGAAAGCATGAGAATAACATGATAATTATATGCAAGTTAATACGACAAGATTCGTGCGATCAATGCCACCTCTTACGTTGGAGCTCTCACATTGATCAAATCTCTACCCCTCGATTCATGTCGTATCTCCGATTTCGACTCCTTTCCCCCTCTGCTGTTTCTTTCCAAGAACGACAACCCTAAGATTCGTTCTGAGGCGAAATCTGTGTTCACCCGTCTGAGAAACATCATGTCTGGTATTCATAGAGATCATGTTTCTTCTTCTTCGTTAGAAGAACAGATTAGCTGAGGAACAACAGAGATTTTGTCGGCAAAAAGAAGAAAGCATCGACATCGGGCGATATCCAGAAGAAGATCGGGTCTGAATGACAAAAGAACAATGGAGGGTCGGCGAATTCTCGCTCCATTCCTGAAGAACAGAACGCAGAATCAGGGGAGATTAGGGTTACTGGAACGAAGTCGAGTGTGAAAAATAAAATGAAAACTTTGATTTTAGGGTTTGTGGAAGGGAAAATAATTAAAGGGGTTGGATGGGCAAAATCGATTTATTAAATTATAGAACTAGATTTTTTAATTCAAAAACCGGATAAATAATTGGACCAAAATATGTTGATGTGGCAAAAACATTTAAAATTGCTTACGTGGATACAATGATATCAGATTTCCGGTCCTATGTCGATTTTCGATGGTCTGAATTTTGGGTCAAACCGGTCAACATGTTATTACGACAACAAGGTTTTATTCAGATACATATTTCAAAGTTAAAAGTTTAAATGACCGTTTTCAAATTAAAGGTTTATTTATATACTTTTTTGCAAGTTCAAGGTTTTTAGGGATTTTACTCTGGTTTTATAGTTTATATCTGATCCGTAGTTTCTGATATCTATTATTTTAAATATCCGCAAAACTACGGATATTTACAAATATCCGTATCCGACATAAAAATAACAAAAAATAAGAAATAAAAATCCTAAAAAATCTCAAAAACATTAATAAAATATATAATCTATAAAGTACAAACAATATTCAAAGTTCAAAATACATAACATAATCATCTTAAATCAAGTAAAAAACAAACACGTACATAGTTCATCACATCGCATATTCAATGTTCAACTTTAAAAGATTAAAGATAAAAAAAATCCATATGTAGAGAACGTATATTAATCTTCATAAAAAAAAACCTGTAAAGAAAACTATAATATAAACAATTAATTAACAAAAAATATATGTATATTATGTCTTATTTTATCTTATTATTGTTCTTCAAAGCTCATTAATCGCCAAATCAATCATTTGAATTTAGCATTGATGATTCGAATAACTCGATTACCTCATCTAAAATAAAAAGAAAAAGGACAGCTCGATTACCTCTCATTCTAAATCGGAGCTTAAATTTTTTTTGGTGTCAAGGAAAAAAGAAAAGAGGCGAAGAAATATAACAATTTGTTCTAGGTCATGATCAATACGAAAAAGAAATTAACAGATATAGAGAATCACATATTCTATTAGCTTTCCATAAAGAAGAAAAATGAAAAAAAGAAACCGATTTCCTTTTGCAAAGCGAATTAAATGAAGATAGTCCCTAAAATCCTAGAAGACAACGAGACTATAACTTGAAATCGTCGATTATCTAAAACTTTGGTAGAAAAATCCGTTAACAAGGACAATAATCGAACGAGGTGGCCAAAATTATCATTTCTTAAAATCTATTTACCTGAGAATCAAAATGAAATTTCAACAGAGAATCTCCCAGTTGCAAGATGAAGAATAGAAAACAAACCGATGAATGAATTTGAAAGAAAGATATGAACAAATAGCAGAGAAAAGTAGACAGAGTAAATGAAAATAACAAGTTACAAACAGCCAAACAACACCTTTGTAATGACCTTATTTTTCTCAAAATATGATATATCATAACTAAAGCATATAAACGATGAAAATGTTTCCAGAAAATCCTATGGCCTTGGTGATTCTTTGAGCAAGCAATGATGACTCGTAAAGAGAGCGAAGAACTTCAGGAACGTTCCACGGTTGTAAAGGAATTCATATTCAATTTCCAATAAATGAAAGATTGGATACTGATAAAAAAAATGACAAAATTTGTTTCTTGGGTAAGAAACAACCAATACGATCCCTTGATTAATGGACAAAAATGAAATTTATTGTAATAATTGTGAACTCTGTTATATATAGAAAAAAATATCGTTGATTAGAAAGTATGAATTGAGTCATAACTTAAAATCCAAATGATCGCAAAATATGAATAATCTTCTTGGCATGACCTAATGAGATGTCTTTCGTTCTATGATTGTACTGGTGGTTCGATTTGTAGATATTGGTAGATGATTGTTTTCGTCAGCGATATGTGATCGAATCGATGGTGACAAAATGTGCAACAATTTTTATATATATAGAAATTTAATGTAGTTACATACAATGAAGGATGACATAATAATAAATTCACATAAATAAATTAGTTAACAAATTTGATGAAAGAAAAATATCACAATAACAAATGTTTATCGAAATTCAAAAAGGTTTTCATCAAATTTACTGTAAAGAAGTTATGGTCCCGTGATTTTATTCAAATAATGGTTGAATGCATATATCCTTTTACATTTATTTTCTTAATATAAACATATCCTATAAAAGTTTGTGCAAAAGAAAATTTAATCAAGTATTATAGGAAATATTTTTCGATAATAGACAATATTTAAACCTAATTTTATTCGTAACCAAAAAAAGGCTAAGTATTGGACGAGAATATCTTGTAGATCGAATGGGGATATGGTTTGTCGAGGTAATTAAGCTCGAGATACAGACACTAATCGTAATATGATGTCAAATAATATAACTGGCCCACATGTATATACTCAAAACGATAGTTTTCGTATTCTAGTTTTAAATGATAATTGTAATAATTCTATTATGTTATCTTGGTTTTTGGATAAGATTCAATTCGGCTATTTCGGATTCGATTATTTTGATTGTAGAAAAACTATGACTATACGGTTTTTATATCAACTTCAGTTCAATTCGGTTCGATTTGGTTTTATTTCGTTTTAATTCAGTACGAATTCTTTTTTTATTAGTAAATAAAAAACTAGTTTTCTTTAAAAAAATTGATTTTTTCGATTATTTTTTAATCGGTTCTATTTGATTTCGATTTCGGTGGTTTAGAGATTCTTTGCATGTTTATGAAGTAGTTGGACCATTCATTACCTTCTATCTTTTGAGTTGGATTTGGTATGAATTCATTGTTTTATTGATAAATAAAAACTCATTTAAAAAAACGAATTTTCTGGTTATTTTTTAATCGGTTCTATTTGATTTCAATTTTTTTTGTTTCACAAATTCTTTGCATGTTTATGAAGTAGTTGGACCATTTATTACATTCTATCTTTTAAGTTTGAGACAAAAAAAAACGAAAGAACACAAATATTTACCATATTGTTATGTCTAACTAGTTAATAACCCGTGCGAATTGCGCGGACTTTCTCTTCATCGTAATTTAGTTTATCTGATCCACCAAAATCCATAGGAACTATTTAATTTATGATAAAGAAGTTGTCTTAGTTTCTCACCGTAAAATAATTCTATCATATTTCCGGGTTTCATTTAGATAGTAACCCGTGCGACACCGTAAAATAATATATATAAAAATTTTAAATACTTTTATTATTATTTTTTAAGTTTGATATAATGTATTTGTTTTTTAATTTATCATTTATATCGTTAAATTAAAATAATAAATATTTTTTAAGTATCGAGATATTGTGGTAATACATTGTTTTTCAAAGAAATTGTGAAAAATTTATATTTTGTGGATTATATTATTGAACCATTTGTTGGAATATAAAACATCGGAGTAAGGTTTTGAATAATTTTATGATTCGATAAAATATATTCGATTACACAAACTTGATATTCTAAATCTATGTATTATTATTTTTTTTACAAACTAAAGATTTGGACATCTTTTATGAAAAAAAAAATAAAACTAAGACTATATTATATTTGTTTACTATTTATATTTTATTATAATAATATTAGTTATACAACTTGTAATTCCCCTACTAATTTAAATATATATGAGTTAGAGATCCATTTAATTAGTTTTTCATTTAATTTGACTTGTATTTGTTAAATTTATTTCCAATTATTTTTGAAAAATTTGGTATCGTTTTCGAAATGAACTGTTAAAAAAACTAAAAAGTATTAAAACACTGGATAAAGTCGAACTACATTTTAAATGATTCGATAAAATATATTCGATTCGATCAACTTGATATTCTAAATCTATGTATTATTATTTTTTTTACAAACTAAAGATTTGGACATCTTTTATGAAAAAAAAAATAAAACTAAGACTATATTATATTTGTTTACTATTTATATTTTATTATAATAATATTAGTTATACAACTTGTAATTCCCCTACTAATTTAAATATATATGAGTTAGAGATCCATTTAATTAGTTTTTCATTTAATTTGACTTGTATTTGTTAAATTTATTTCCAATTATTTTTGAAAAATTTGGTATCGTTTTCGAAATGAACTGTTAAAAAAACTAAAAAGTATTAAAACACTGGATAAAGTCGAACTACATTTTAAAAACCCCGAATTCGTTTTTTCTTAAGAAAATGTCCAATTTTCTTAATAAAGATTGAAACCGAATATAATATAATTAATATTTTTTATATATTTTTTTATAAAGTCGAATAAACTGGATCAAATACTAAAATTTCAATCCCTAGTTTATATATGTATACATATTAATAGTTATACATATGTATATATAAATGGATTTAAATGTTTTAAAGAGATTTAAGGGGTCGACCAATCCAATCTATTATTATTAATGAGTCGAGCCAATTCAACTCGTTATTCTTATGATCCAAACAGATTGGACCTTGGTTGAGCCAACCCAATTAAAATCGAAGCAAACCAAATATAATGTAATAACTAGTGGTGGGCACGGATCGGATATCCGTGATTTTTAGGATATCCGTATCCGTATCCGATCCGCTCAAATATTCGATTTTATTATCCGTATCCGATCCGTAATTTACGAATATCCGAAATTTCGGATATCCGTAAATATCGCGGATATTTGCGAATATCCGTATCCGACATTAAAAATTATAAAAATTAAATTCAAATTTAAATAAAAAATTTAAATATAAAGAAAATATATAAGTTATTTAATATAAATGTTATTCACAATTTAAAATTTATAATTTAAATATTTTAAATTAATTCAAATACAAATATAATCATAGTT